TGAAAATTAGCCCTTGTTTGGATTATTATTGATTATCGATATTAATGTCAATGCTGGTTTTGAACTGGAAAAGCCCGTGCTCTCTCGATGAGAATCGAATACGATCTTGATTTCCCTTAGCGGACCGCTAAGATTGTTCTCAGGGAAATGAATTTGCTACAAGTCGATTCATCTCCCCAATTGTAGATCACAACATCGAACAAACCAATGTGCTCTATACACTCATTGGATTGAAGATATTGAGATGTTGAAGAAAGGTCGATTGCACCATCTCTTGTGTCCTAAATGGTTACGTGGTTGTCAATGTATCCTTGACAAGGTTCGAGACTTGGTAATTGTGAACGAAAAAGAAAGGTCGATTGCCTCTCATTGTTTGCAGAAAAATCAAGAAATAAATCTGAAGATGTTACGTACCTTTTCGATTCTCACGAGACTGGATTGAGTTATCGCCCAGCTATCAGCTAACAAAAAGTTTAGCCAAGCATGATAGAAATCATTCTTGGCGTGTAGAAAGAGAGTAAATGGAGAAGAAAAATAATTTTATTCTAATAAACTGAAAAAAAAAAGAAAAATAATTTTATTGTCATAACCAGCTTTATACTGAATTCTAAATTTGTACCCTCTCAAGCTTCACCCCTAGCAGATATTTGTAGTCTTGAGTTAACCTAATGAAAATAAAATACTAACTCTTAAAATATTCAAACTCTTAATTCTAACAAACTAAAAATCCTAAATAAAAATTCTATGCAAACTAAATTCCTAATAAAATAATAAAATCTCAAATGTTTGAATTAAATTACAATTTTTAAATTCCTAAATAATTATGGTTCGCCTTACTTTTCTCTTTGATTTTGCTACTTGGAATATTTAATTAGGGTTTGTGCTTGAATCTACCTTTGAATTTGAGTTGACGCGACTTTTCTCAAATAAGTAGGAAAATCGTTTAATTTATCTTTTAATTGTTATTTCCTTAAGGTCTACCCATACTCTCAAAGTTGTCTCTGAACCACCGTGTTAAAGAACCGATGCATGGCATGAATTAGTATATATTTCAGCATTAACCACTACAACATTATCCCCAAACTCATTCACTTTAAATCCCTGTTGTTTTCTGTATTTTCTCTGTATCACTGCCCATGAACGACCATTTTTATATAATTGTTTGACTCCTTTTTCTCCATAAAAGTAAGATTCCAAAAGCAGCAGAAATGACATACAAAGAAGAAAAAAAAAAGCAAGTGATTTAGATAAGCACTGGAAACTTTGCATGTTCAAGCTGCTCCATTAGACTGTTTGGAAAACATGGAAGCTCCTGATGGATCAACTGATATTTCCAAAAGGAGAAAGAAAGAAAAGAGGGGTCAGTCTCTTTTGCCGTGAAAATCGACTGTATCATTCAAAGGCAATGTTCATTCCCGAGAAGGAAAATTCTTCCATCTTTTTTGATCAGTCTTGGTGTGATGTGATAGGAAAGTGAAGGTCGTCCCTTTCCCAGTGTCGACAAGATAATAAGAGCTTTAAGAAAAGAGCAAAAAGAAAGTAGAATCTTGGTCGATCATGTCTCTTATCTTATTGGTGATTTTTAAGACTTCGAGGTATGCAGAGCAGCACTGGGAAGATGATAAAGTAAAGAAACGAAAGCAAATTTGGAATTCTAACACGAGGAGTTTCGGTTTTTTGGGTTTAGGGAAAAAAGATATGTGAAAGTTTATCGACCAATAACGAGGCCTACTCGTGCTTGTTTTCTGCACTATCTTTATGCATGAAAATATCAGTGATCCATTAACAAATCCTATCCACAAATATAATCCATTCTCAAGGGAAGCAAGTACATACAGTAATACACATCTATAAATTTAAGAATGATGTTTAAAATTTTAATATTTTTTTCTAAAAAAATACATTTTTAACATATTAAATTAAATTTAATCATTTTCCACTTGCACTTCACCATTGTGAAGACTTAGTGCATCCCTGAGTGCATGTTTTCTCTACTTGATCGCCACTACATTAGTGGAAATGTCAACCCTGGTGCCCTGTTTTTTCACATTAACTTCTATGTTTCTTCTCTCTTCATGTTATGAGGCTAAAACTAGTGAACTACTTTCTAGAATACACGTTTCTCTTTTAGAATTTTTAAGTGTGCATAATCTATTTATATAATATACAATTTATAAACTTTATCTCAATTTAAAATCATTGAACGTATATAAGTGGATGATTAAGATTAAAATTTTATACGCACCAATTAATTTACTTCAATAATTAAAGAATTTATTATTACTCCTAGAGGTAACAGATTCGAACACCAGTAACCGTAGTAGGATGATTGAATATTAATTATCAAATAATTAAGAATATTTAAAATAAATTTTATTTTGTAATCACTTAGCTTAATAAAAGGAAAATATAGAATATAACAAATGGTGCGTTCAAATAAAAAGAAAAATAATTAAATTATTTAAGTAATCTCGTAATTAGGGTTGTAAGTAAGACGAGACAGATCGCGAGCTATTCGAGATCGACTCGATCAAGGCTCGATAAATACTCGGATCGAATGGACTCGACTCGAGTTCTTAACGAGCTGAAACGAGCTACTCGATATTCGACTCGAAAAGCTCGTGAGCAGCTCGAAAATATAATATATTAAGATTTTATTTTAAAAAATAAATTAATAATAATATTAATATTTATGTATTGATTTTTTTTTAAATACAGTAAGATTTCATGTATTTAAGGTTCATGTTCGAGTTTGAGTTTGAGGCTTCAATCGAGTTAAGTTTAAGAATTTTTTTTCATTTCGAGCACGAGCTTCAGTTCAGGATTTCGAGTTCGAGTCGAGCTTGAAAATTTTAAGCTCGCAAGTTTTCGAGTCGAGTCGAGCTTCATTTCAGAGTTTTCGAGTCGAGTCGAGCTCAGCAATACTCGAGCTCGACTCGACTCGGCTCGTTTACATCCCTACTCGTAATCCTACTCGTATTCCTCCTTTTTAAACGAGATTTGCGTTGAGAAAGCAAAATCAGATGGACCCATACAATGAAGAAATTAAAGCAAATGACGAGACATGGTAACTTGGCATTAAGAGAAGCTTGTAGAATTTGATATGCCACAATAGTAATATAGTATGGTGCACTAATAAAAAAAAGGGTGAAGGAATCATTGACACGAGACGACAAATCCTCTCTAATACCATCCATTAGTAATGCTTAGATGATTCATAGCTTATAAAAATTTAGAAATTAGAATTAAATGTTTTATTTAATTTATAATTAATTTTATAATATACAAAATTCATGCTTAAAAAAAGTAATACAACAATTTTAAAATGTTGTTTATAAATCAATAATTCTTTTTGTTTAATTAAAAAGTAACAAAGTTTTTGAATTAAGGGTCCGTTTGTTTCACGTAAAACATTTTGTTAAAATTGTTTCTCATTTTTCGTAAGTCATTTTCTGAACTTTTCACTTCAAATAATAAATACTCAAAATAGTTTTATTTTATGAATTTGATATTAATAAAATATCTTAATATCATTTTAATCAAAATATTAATTATTAAAATATTTAAAATATATTTATTAATATTTATAATAATATAATATTATATTTTTTAATATTATAATAAAATAATCAATTATATTATAAAAATGTAAGATATTATATTTTTATTTTAATAATATATAATAAATTATTAATAAAAAATTATATTATTTATTAATTTAATATAAATAATATTATTAAATTATTAATAATGAATAATATTATTTATATATTTAATATTAATATAATAATCTAATAATAATTTAATAAATATATTTAAAACATACTAATTAATTTTTTTAAAATATAATATAACACTATTACTTTAATAGATAATTAATATAATTTATAATATTTTTATTTCAATAAAATATATCAATTATAAAAATAATATTTTAATAATAAATAAATTATTTTAATATTTTAAAAAAATAATATTAAGTTTTATGATAAATAATATATTTATTGTATTTAATAGTTGTAATAAATAGTTTTTAAAAAATTTATCAACTAGTGAAAAAAAAATTTAAGCAACATCATCCAAACATCGTAAAACGTTTTTCAGAAAATGTTTTTTCAGAAAATATAATTTATTTTACGTAAAATATTTTCCGAAAAACGTTTTTAATGAAACAAACGGACCCTAAATCAAAACCAAAACGAAACTCGAATCTAAAGGAATATAAGTAAACTCAACTATGATCGTCATGTGTGTATCTAGTCATCCCCACATACATAACATGACTAATTATAATGGCACTAAGCAATTCCTGGGAGCCTGTGCTCAGCATTCTCTAGGTTTATTTCTGAATTTTATTTTTATTCTAATCTAAAGTCAAAATTTTTATTTTTTGAAGAAAAAAATATGACCACCCACCAAATTTGGCATTTCACATTAATAATTCAACTATTATTAATTAGAACCCGATAAAAAAAGACTTGTTTTATCCCAACAAATTTAATATTTATAATCTATTTTTCATTTCAATTTATGATATAATTAAAAAGTTTTAATTGCAATATATTAGAATTTATGGAGGATACAATTAATTAATTAAAACAGAATAATACATTACTTGATTGAAACAGAGTAAAAATACTGTGACGGGTTTGGGCCTCAATATGAGAATAAGAGTAGGGTCATTTTGGACATGCTTAATGTTTGGCCCATTTTAGGGCGTAAAAGGTATTGAATGTTTAAAGCACAGACACAAACAAAAGCTAAAAGAAAAAATAAACCGTCAGAAAGAATTTTCAGATCGGAGAGAGAGGGCTCAAACCTGCTCTCTCCCTCTACAGGTTAAACCCCATTTCGAAGGGAAAATAATCCTCAAAATTTTCATGATTCTTTCCATTATATCCCTTTCTTTTGTGCAATTTCTATTAAAATTTCAATTTTGTTTTTGTTGCAAGAGAACTAAGATTGTGCAGTGTCAATAACCATATGCTCCTCCTCCCCCAAAGTTTTATCTCTTGATGCGACGATCGCATGCCCGAAATCAAATCCAAATCGACCACCGGCTCACAAAAAATGGACCCAATTAAGCTCCAAATCCGATCCAATTCCCGATCCACTGCTCTTTTCTCTCGAAATCCTCGTCAAACCAAGCCACTCCCTTATTTCATCGCGGTTTCAATCGCCATATCCATTGCGTTGTTTGTTTTTGTTTACACATTCCTTTTCTCGTCCAAGGATTCAGTCAAGTATAGCATCATAATCGATGGGGGAAGCACGGGAACGAGGATTCACGTGTTTAGTTACAAAATTGACGGAGACAGAAACCCGGTATTTGATTTTAAACAAGGATTGGGGAGCTTGAAGGTTAATCCTGGATTGTCGGTTTACGCTGAGGATCTGGAAGGAGCTGCAGATTTGTTGAAAGAGCTTTTGGAGTTCGGGAGAAGTAAAGTTCCGGAAAGCCAATGGGGAGAGACGGAGATTAGGTTAATGGCGACGGCGGGCTTGAGATTGTTGGACGATGAGGTGCAGGAGAGGATTTTGGAGCAGTGCAGGAAGGTGCTTAGGGTCTCTGGTTTTAAGTTTCGCGACGTCTGGGCTTCGGTTATTACAGGTAATATAATGTGCTTTGCTTTGAGATAGTTTATTGAGACAATGTGGGGGAAATTTTGATGTTATTCAGAATGGGACAGCAATGGGTAAGTAGTAAAAGGTAGTATACTTGGAGTTGGAAGTTTACATGTTGTATGGACGGGCCTAGAAATGCTAATTGGATGCAGGTTGTATAATTGCTAGTTGAATTGGCTCTTGTAGTATCAATGCTGGAATTTTTACAGTCCTTATGGTTGTAGTTTCTGACCCATGTTTTGAAGCTAAGTTTTGAATGTTTTGATTGGTTTAGGCTCTGATGAGGGAGTGTATGCTTGGGTTGTTGCAAACTATGTCCTTGGTACTCTTGGAGGTAATCCTCAACATACAACTGGAATAATTGAACTTGGCGGGGCATCTGCTCAGGTTTGTTTTTAATCTTTAATCTTCATTGCTTCTAGTGTTTTTTTTTTATAAATCCTTTCTTTAGCGTTGGCATATAGTTGAAATGAATTCTTCCACGCCAGAATTTGCAAGTCATCCGAGCTTCTAATTAGTGACATCACTTACTAGTGTTCCTTTATTTCTTGTGTATACTTAAAACAACAAAATTATACGAATATTCAGAAGAGGATAAAAAGGTTAAAAGATTCTAGAAGCAATACTTTTTGATTATTTTTTTTATAGGAAGTGGAGGCCTCGTTAAAATCCCACTTTTTGATTAATTTCAAATGCATTTAAGGGCATATATGCCCTTTCCTTAAGATTACCATTGAATTAGTTGCTCGACTTATATTTCAGGTAACGTTTTTCTCAACTGAGCGTATGCCTTCTGAATTCTCACGCTCCATCAAGTTTGGGAATTTCACTTACAGTCTCTATAGCCACAGCTTTCTTCACTTTGGTCAGGTAACTTTAGCATGCATTAGCTTCTTTTATTCATTTATTTGCTGGTTATGGTTGCTATGCACATGTGTTCTATATGTAGGCATCTTATTCAACAAGAACGGCTTAGTTAAAATTAAATGGAATGAGAATATATATATATATATATATTTCTGAAAGTAGATAGTACTGATTGACTGTCCTTCTGCCAAGTGTTTATCTTCAATCCTTGAAACAAATTGCAGATTATCTTATTTCTTTTTTGATAAGACAGATTATCTTATTTCTAATTAATGTTGATACTATTTCAATATGGTTTTGCAATTTATTTTTGCTGTATCTCATTACAGATTATGTGAGAAATCCGAAGTTAGTCTAGGATTTTTTAACTTTTGTGATCTTTCCAGAATGTTGCGCACAATTCATTGAGGGAATCACTTATTAATGGAGATTTCAGTCCAGGTATGTTTATTTGCCTTCTCTTAAAATTTGTGGGCTTAGAAGTGCCCGAAGAAGTCAGAGTTTTTTAATTGTGTTTTGAACTCAAATTAGGAATTTTAATCACTGAGTTGTTCTTAAATCATCTCTCCGAGTTTCGCAATGTTATAGCTTGAGGAAGAGATCAAATTTTTGAGTATGGACATTGCTTGTATACTTCAGTTTTGAGTATTTGGCCATTGTAGAGATGGTGTGGAGTTACTAGTTAGTTAAGTTATTATGTCTTTATTGTTCATTTGTTATTCTTACCTCTATGCAGCTGCCGAGTCTATTCACAAGGAAACGTATATAGATCCTTGTACTCCTAAAGGATACTTGCCCGAGTCATCAAACCTTTTGTTAGGTTCTAAGGGTGAAAAAAGTAAATATGTTTCTGAATTTCAAGCTAGGGGTAACTTCTCTGAGTGCAGAACTGCTGCACTAATGCTATTACAAAAAGGAAGAGGTTACAAACTATCTTAGAACCACCACACTTATTACGTTACCTTATGCCATTGGATAATAATCACTATGTATATTCTGACATGCAGAGAAATGTTCCTCTGGTCGGTGTTACTTGGGATCAGTTTTCATGCCCAAGCTTCAAGGCAAATTCTTTGCTACAGAAAATTTCTTCTATACCTCAAAGGTATGATTATAATCAGTCCTTTTCTTTCAGCCTTATGTTTGCTTGACCCCCCGCCCCCTCTTTCCATTTATCCCAATTCTTTTACGCCTTAGGTGGATGATTTTACGTGACATCCTAAACCCATGTAATATATGCTTGGGGTGAATGCCTTACATTTCTTTCTTTGTATCCTCCTGCTGGAGTAGTTCTTTAGGTTGCACCAAAAGGGCTCTCTTTCTGATCTAATCATGGCGGGGCAACGTTTATGTGAAGAGGATTGGTCAAAATTGAAGAAGAAACACCCATCGCTCGATGAGGAAAATCTGTTGCGCTACTGTTTTTCTTCAGCATATATTGTGGCTTTACTTCACGATAGCCTTGAAATTGCTTTGGATGATGAAAGGTATCTTTTCTACTCTGCCAGTTGGTGTACTCAAAAGAAAACGGGTACCATGGCTTTCCTCCATATGAAAATATTAAATTGGCAGTTCGTCTATAGTTTTATTCGTTCTCTGAATCAAAATTCAATATGGAACAGGCTCAGCTTTGCTAATCAGGTCAATGATATACCATTAGATTGGGCCTTGGGAGCTTTCATATTGCAAAGCACAACCAACTTGGACGTGCAGCACACCGACTGGATAACTAATATTATCAACAGTGATTCAACAATATTTTCCATCATTGCCTTCTCCGTAATATTGATGTTTAGTGCTTGGTCTATATCAAAATGGAGGAAACCCCAGCTGAAGACCGTGTATGATCTCGAGAAAGGAAGATATATAGTTACACGTATCGGTTGAAGCTGATCTGTCATCGTCTAGACAGGATTGAAGCCTATGATTTTTTGAATCCGAGGAGAGTTCCTTTTTTGAGGGTATTACTTTTTTCGCTTCCTTGGTTTCTGCCCCACCTTAAGGTCATCATCATGGCAGTGGGACATTTAAGATCAAATACCATGGAGTTCCAACGTATGAAACTTTATTGTAACATATTCATGGCCGGGGAACTAGCATAAAAGATTATTTTAGACTCCCAATTTGTATCAACCGGGAACCAAATCCTTATTTTATTATCACTTTCCTAGGTGAGCTTCCTTGTGTCGTCTCGACTTAGGTGAGTGATGAATATGGCGAAGTGGGCAAAGTAAGTTTATGTTATTTTTAATATATTTAAACCATCACATTCTTATTTATCTGTCTAAATATATTTCACAAATAAATGTTACGTTATTAAATTAAATTAATGAAAAATAACATTAACTTATGTGCTAAGACATGACGGGAAAAAAATCCCACCAAAGCTTAAATGATAATCCTAAATGTTTAATGTATAGGATGTGAATTTAATTTCATAAGCAACTTTCTCCCATGATTACATAAATTTTTGTTAGAATTTATTTAAACTAAATGAGCTGATTTATTTAATTGAAATTTCTCCTTTTCTCATAAATTATTAAAAATTATCTTTAGCTAAATGGGTGTGAATTTCAAATTTAAATATATGACAAACTACCTCATATACCATTGAACTTTAGGTTGTATGTTATTTATACCATTGAATTTTTAATTGTTCTAATTATAGCATGAACTTTAGTTTTGACTTCAATTATATTATTGGGGTTATAAAATCCAAATGGTGTGCTAACATGGACAAAACGATATTGTTTTTGGTGAAGCTATTAATACCGAAGACAATGCCGTTTTAAGCACTAAAGTTTAAGTGTATATAAATTTTGTCAATTAGAATTTTAAATGATTCATTTTTAGGTACTACAATTTAAATATATGAATTGTTGTCCATCACTAGTCGCCATTTGTTCAAAAACGCGTTTGCAGTCAAAAGAAGCTTAATTAGAAAATTTTCTATCCTGTTTTTATTGGTTCATCTAGGATGCGCGAATTCCCCCATTTTTTTTAGCTGAAAAGGTAAATGTTTTTAGGATTTGGTTAAATTTTTTGTTGCTGTCTTATCAGATTCCTTTCTTTTTCTTTCTATTCTCTCATCTGTTCGGAAACCTCCGACCCGCCGCTCTTTCTCAGAGCGATCCCGGGTCTCCTTTTATAGTTATGTTTTCCATATCATATTGAAGATTTATTTTTGGTCGAATCGTTGAAGTAGCTGAAAGAAATTGGAATTTTTTTTTGTTAAATTTGTAGAAACTATGAGTGATCACTTGGTGTTATATGTGGATCGTCTGGTGAGGCCGGTGCCCGTGCGCCCAGTGGAATCAGAGGCTGGTCCCTTGACGGAGATTTTGGCGGAGGAAAAGGAGAAGGAGAAAGATAAGGAAGTTGTCCAAGGAGGCGAAGATGACGAGGACGAGGGAGATGAGGAGGACCCGCTTATTCAGGCGGCGGAGTGTCGCATTTGTCAGGAGGAAGATTCCATTAAGAATCTCGAGACTCCTTGTGTCTGCAATGGCAGCCTCAAGGTAATTCGTTTCTTTTATTTTGTTGTTAAATTGATCGTTTCTTTTAAGGAATGAAAAGTGCGATTTGGCTTTCAGTTTAGCAGACCTTATAAATTATGCTAATTTCTCAGTCAGCGTTACTTGCTTTGGTATATTTGATGCTGTATGAAATATTCCTATGATAGACATTGTTGAGTTTTATATGTTCTGAATTGCAGTATGCGCATAGGAAGTGCGTGCAGCATTGGTGCAACAAAAAGGAGATATAGTTTGCGAGATATGTCATCAGGTATTTTTCTGTGAGAAATACGCATGGGCTTACTTGCAGCTCGTTTACCATTTTATGTTGTTAAAATATTTTGAACTAGACTTTTAGTCCTTTCTTTCCCTTAAAGAATTGGAAGTTTGCGAATTTTGAGTAAGTAGTTGGGAATGCCTCTCGAAGAGGGCGAATCGTTTGCTTTTATGATGAAGTCGGCAGAGTGAAAAAAAGGAAAGAATATGAATTTTGGAGTGAGTTTTGTAGGAAAGATGTTTATTCTTCTCCTAATGCATAAAATGATTCATTCAGAATTTGAATGATAATAGACGAAAAAATGAAAGAGTTGTGATTTAAGCGTGTGTATTTGGGAGATTATCTATTATTTACAAATGCTATAATCGGTACTTGGTTGTTGTGGCTTCTTGTTGATATGGTCTGCCTTTAATTTACTGTGCAGCCTTATCAACCTGATTACACTGCTTTACCTTGTCGCCGAACTGAAGAAACAGCTATTGATATTGGGTAAGTTTGATTTTCTCACGTTTATCAGTTTCTTTACGAAATGATTGTGGGTGGACCTTTTCTATTGGTAAAATTGAGTGTATGCCATTCGATTTACAAAGTATGATGTCCACTAGAAACGATCTAAACTTGCTAGAAAGCAATTTTGTATGATCTGTTTGGAAGATTCCATCATAATGATTGCATATCTGTCTTGTAGTGGAGGCTGGACAATCTCTGGCACCCCTCTGGATTTGCATGATCCTCGCATTTTGGCCATTGCGGAGGCAGAACGCCAATTTCTGGAAACCGGATATGATGAATATGCTGCATCAAGTGCCACTGGAGCTGCTTTTTGCCGTTCAGCTGCTGTAATTGTAAGCATTTAGTTACAAATCAATCATCTGGACATACTGAATTTCATTCAAATCATGTTTAGTCCGGACTCTAAAACACCTCATTTAAGCGTGTTTTAACATTCTTGCCGTAAAGTTGGACCGCCATCAATTTAATTTATAAATACATATAATCATGTTCAAGGAATCGTTTTGATAAATGAATTTGGAGAAAACAGCTCTGCTAAGCTGAATTAGCTTTTAACTGGAAGATCTTTATGTTCTTAAGAGATAGCTCTGCTCTCATTTTTCCCCGTTTGGAAACAGAGGGGAAACTTAGTTTTACAGTTTTATGTAATTTTTTGGATTTAGCTCCTCTCATCATGGTAAATTTGAGCCACACCAGCGGTGGTGCTATTCCACTTAGGCCACAATGGCAGTGGCCATCTTAGTTGATTTTCATGTCAACAACTTTCCTTATCATTGCTTCCTTTTCTTTTGAACATTGGGTGGGCCAAATGTTATCTTCTACCATCCTCTCAGCTCTGAACATCGCGGTCTGATGGAAAACCATCCAGATTCTACCTCAGCCATAAGCACTCTTTTGAAAATTTTCATGTCCATAACTTCCTTTTGGTTCCTTCTTAAAAGATGATTAAAAAAAAGAGTTCATTTGTTACATGACAAGATCCAGGTAAAATTAAGAGTTGACTTTTTCTCATTATTCCAGTTAATGGCACTTCTGCTGTTGCGGCATGCAGTGACTGTTCCCGATTCTGATTCTGATGATGATTTGTCTTCATTTTTCTCTGTAAGTTTATGCTTTTTGCATTCTTTTATTTCACCCATGTACTTGTTAAGCATTTAGCTTACCGTTACATACCATAGAGCCATTTATTTCTTAAAACTGCTTGGTTTCTTACAGTTTTTCTTGCTTCGAGCCACTGGGTTTCTGTTACCATGCTACATCATGGCATGGGCGATCAGTATCTGTGTTTTAAAAAGCGCGCCTGAGGCGCTTTGAGGCGCTAGGCAAGACGAGGCGTTTAGAAAAAAGCCTCCGACCACCAAGGCGGCGGCGAGTACAAGAGGCGGCGATTCAGTCGTCGGAGGCGGCGAGAGGCGACGAGGCGATGCTTTTAGCGATTCACGTACAATGACCCATTTTTAAATTTTGGGTCTGGGCTCGATTTTCTTCCAACAGTCAGACCTTTTAATCTTCCAACAGTCAAACCTTTTAAATTCCAATTACTTATATTAATGTATTCCTGGAACTTTGAACTGTCTCTTGACCTTCTAACGTCCAATTTTTTAATTACTGTATGTCCATAAATCATGATCCAAGCTCTCTAGTTTCTCCGATGCATACCTTGGAGCTTCTTTTCCCTCCTAAAATTTTCTCTCCCTCCTCCATTCATGCTTAATTCAGCGATTGTTCTACGTTGAAGTTGAAAGCAGACTCCTTTCTCAGTTTCTCCTATCTCCTTTCTCGATTTTCTCCATTAAGGTAAGTCTTAATTTTAAAATTGTATCACTGTAGTGTATGTACATCTGCTTTTCTTTTCCCCTCCACTCCTACAGGTAATTTACTTCACTGTAATTTGTTTAATTGCTTCATCTTCAATGTAATTTGTTTAATTGTTTATATATTGGAAGACACAAGCTTTCTTCGGTTATCACAGCTGTAGATATATAATCCGCTTCATTGTTAAGGTGATCTGCTTACTTGTTTTTTTTTTAAGGTAATCTGTTTAATTGTTTATCTATATTTTAATTGTTAGGTAATCTGTTTAGAATTTAGATATATAATCATTAAGGTTTTCGCCATTAAGGTATTTGTTTAGATAATCTGTTCATAGAAATATAGAATTTACTCATTTTAGGCTTTTAAGCACAATGTAAATATGTAATTTGTTTATAGATAATCCTGCTCAATATGCATTCTCTGTTTATTTATAGATTCTGTTTATAGTTTTCTGTTTTTAATCTGTTAGTTATAATATGTTAGTTTACTGTTTTTATTGCTAATTTGTTAGTTATAATATGTTTTTTATGCTTTTCCAAAAAAAAAAGCTTACTGTTTATATTGCTAATCTGTTAGTTTATAGATATATAATCTGTTAGTTTTCTGTTTTCAGTCTATTGCTAATCTGTTTTTACTTCATACACTTCATATAAATTCTGTTTATAAATATATAATTTGTTAGTTTTCTGTTTTGATACATTTTGTTGTTATGTATTTTTTGCTATGTATTGTATTTTATGTTTTTATAGATTGCTGCTATGTTTATTTAGATAGTTAGATTGTTTTTCTAAAATGGCCACCGACGATGCTACCGGTTCCGCTGATGATGCAATTGATCCGGGGAGGAAATATAGTATACCTATGCTACTTGGTGTTTTTGCTTATTAAGTTGTTTTGTGTTTGAGATATGGTTATAAAATATTTACAAATGTTTTGTAAAATTAAGCGCCTCGCGTACATGAATCTCTCGCCTCAAAGCG